TATATATATGTACGGTATTTATGTCATATACAGGAGAGGTTAATGTAATACACTCGTGAGAAGTTTTAATCCTATCATTCAGCAGGCGTTTGGACTCATACACAGGCAGTACTACGACAGTCTGTGAATATTTACAAAAGCAAAGATTCATGAAAAACTACAAAATATCCCCCAAAAAAACAAAGAGTTTTGAGACCATAACAGAATTCAATTAAAACAACATATCACAAATGAAACAACATAATAAGCTTTAATTGCATCAAATAAAGCAGACGTGCTCAAAAGGGAAAGCTATCTCTTCTAGATTCACTGGAAAATCTCTTGAACAGCCATTCACTACAACTCATTTGCAATTGCTCACATACCATGAAAGATAACAACAGCGATAACAACAATGCCATTTTTCCTTTCATTCCTTCTTGCACTGGCATAGTATTAGTTGTCTTTTATTTAGGCGTTTTGAGAATTTTCTATATTTCTAGTTCTTGAGTTTAGATTTCTTCTGTCCCTTCTTCCACCGTTGACCTCATGTGCAGTAAAACTAAAGGTCGTCCATCCCACAGAGTGTGCGACTCATTGACCGTGAGGTATGGAGGGAAATCGGGTACCCGGTGGCTGAGGTGAGATCAGTCTGTGGACTGTCCCTCGCTTACGCACCTCTTTGGCCCAGGTTTTCCACTTAGATGGGACGGTAAGCACGGTCCATGCCCCTCAATGGGTTAGGAGCTGAAACGCCTTCAATCCCTGGGTCAGTCTTTCCTGGAGGGTCTCGTACACTCTCGTATAACTCTGGGATATCCCTGGCTATCCGATTAATGTGTCCCCTTGTTAGGCTTGGTGGCCAACGGGGAGCCCCGGAGTCGAATCAAAAATAAACTTCCCCAGCTCCCAATGTTACGAAAAAGTCTCGGCTCGTGGAAGCGGGTGCGACTGCCGAGCCGAGCCAAGCCGAGCAAACCAGCCCCAACAATAAAAAGGACCTTTACGGCTGCTTCTGCCCTCCCTCCCAGGGAGCTTCCTCGGCAGCTGCACTTGACTATCTGCAGCATCGATGCGCAGAAGAAGATCACAGATCTTAACCTTTTTCAAAACTACTGATGCACTACGACATGTTCTGATGCAGTGTGAGGTGCCCCCTCCCACCTCTTCCCAGCCCCCATCCTTCTGTTCCACCTCAGCCTACCCATCTAGCAGATACCTTGGAGTAACTATATAGGGAGAGGCCCTAACGTTGCGTCGCCCGCTCAACAGTTCCAACCAAGTTGAAGCCGAAAGGGCGGAGCTTATCGGGCCTGCCGCCATCTTTGTAAGTTCAAAACAATGCAGCGTACGCTGCGTAATCTCCTTTCAAAACAAGCTGCTCGGACTCCATTTTCTCTCGAAATTTCTTTGTCAATGTTAATTACAGCATTATAAGCACTCACGCACAGTTGTAATATGATAAGGATGTTAAGAAATCTTTCTTGCATCAAATTACCTGCTCACTTAGTCGAATATTTACAGTAATACATGTACTATGTATACACATTGTGACGGTATGAACATTTTTTAAATACTTGTTTTAGAGAAGAAATTGGGATAATAAGGATCAAAACGAAAATATAAACGGGATAACAAAATTTGCAGACTTTTCGGTCATAGAACTTCATCAGTGCAAAATAATGTCATCACTGACATTATTTTTAGTAAAACGTAGACTTCTTGACTTAAACATACAACAATATATATATAAATATATAACAAAATATATATATATATATATCTAACAAAATTGAAAATGATTACACAAAAGATGGTAGTGAGGGTGGGATGGTATGGGCGAAGAATGAGGAAGGAGAGGGCAAGGCAGATAAGAGTGAAGTATGATGGTGGAAATTACCCCCCCCCCCCCCTCCACAAAAAAACAACAAACAAAAAAAAAGAATTAAACAGCCCCCCCCCCCCCCCCCCCCCAAATAAAACGATGAGGGAAGGGCACCTTTAAAACACCCAGACACTTTATCTAAATTTTACAAAATACTGTTAAGTGTATTGAAAAAATAATAGAACATTAGGTTGATAGGCTTATAATAATAAGAATTTCAAGACAGATTGCACTAATTTGTGACATTTCTCTTTTGACAATGACAGACTACACATGACATCGAAAATGTTATTCACACACCAAACACACTTCAATGACATTCTTTGAAGGCACTGTCAAACCTCCGACGAGACTTCAAAAACAGCAAGGAAGTTACATTTGACACATTGGAGTCAACTAAGGCACCGATGAAGGTTTCACATTTTCAAATGCTTTGTAAACCCTAATAACACATAACCAGCCATGTAAGCAACAGTACTCTCAGAGTAAATTGACAAGTATGCCAGATTAGATCTAGGCACAAACGTGCAGTTATCATTATGGCAAACTGAATTTTCTGCAATCTTTTTCCATTCTGTTTTTACTGTGAGATGCATTTACGGCTAAATCAGAAGGCACTTTGTCATCAAGTTCAGTGCCATTGATATTTTAAAAACATTTTTTGTAGGCCTTATAAGTGTTTTACGGCACTTGCAACTGCATAAGTCATATGACTGCGAGGGACACATTAAAACATTTTAAGTTGGTAGGAAATTTTTAATTTTGCCCGGGTGGCGACCGAAGCCAACTCTTATCGATTTTAGACCACCGAAGGACCTTTAATTTGCGCAACTTGCATACGCGACCTCCGTCGAGCCTCCGAGATTTTTTTGCCCGTTCGAGAAGGCTAGGGGTAGATCTTTCCTACCAGAAGATCGGGGTGTGGCTGAAAGACAGGTAAGAAGGAGCAAAGGAGTAGCAGTAGAAAGGCTGCAGAAAGAGTGCGAAGCCCTGAGGAGGTAGGAACAGAAAGTGGAGACAAAAGCAGACGAAAGAGAAAGTAGAATTTTAAAGAATAAAATTTTTCCGTCACTACTCAGATTCGAATCCGGGACCTTTGAATGAGAGGCCCACCGGACCCGAACGCTACGCAAACTGCCATTCGGTTGACACTAAGTTTACAACTGAGAGAACTGAGCTGATCTCACAAACATTACCGACCGTCGTCTGCAGCGGCTTCACGTTACGCGACTCGCGGCCTCTCCTATTAATAGTTACTCCAAGGCAGATACCCCTTCCCTATGGAGGATGACAGCCACGATCCCTCTCCGTGGTCTCTCCCATGGAAGGACGGAGCCTGTCACTCCTCCCCCAATCCCCAAGTAGGCTGCTGCCCAATAAGGGACAGCAGCCTCGCAAACCCTCTGCCGCAGGAAGGAGTCAGTGTTTTGAAGCGGGGCCGTTGTGCTCCAAAACTAGACAACCCTCATAATTGCAGTCCTGCAATAGAATGGCGACGGACTCCGGCCTTCCATTGCAGAATTGCAACACCTACATGACACAACTTCAAAATCAACAGTCAGATACCACTCAACAAAGTATTCAAAATAAAATAGCTGTTTATACACCCAAAAAATAGGTAGACGCCCAGACACCATCCGGTATGTTCAGACGTCCGATGGCACCACAGAAGAAACACAGATAGACATGATCGCAAATGCAATAGCTTCATCTCTCTCCCAAAATTAATCCAAAACAAATTACAACACCACCTTCCAAAGATCAAAACTAACAGAGAACAACAACACCTAAACTTCCACAGAAACAACACCGAAACCTACAAAGCAGACTTCACACTAGACGAATTGACATCGTAAATCTCGGACTTTGACAATACTTTCCCGGGTCCAGATGACATCCACAGAATCACCCACACTTCTTCTAAAACTATACAGTGACACGTGGCAGTCGCACACTTTTTCGGAGGCTTATCGACTTGCCACTGTCATTTCAATTCTCACGCCAAACAAAGATAGCAAACTCCCAACAAACTACAGACAAATCGCCCTAACGAGCTTTCAATGCAAGCTAACAGAACAATTGATCAACAGGCGACTCGTATGGTTTCTGAAGAGGACGGGCTCGCTGAGCGATCAGCATTGTGGATTCAGTAAAACTCGAACCACCCTGGATCACCGGATCTGCTTTTAGCGGGAGGTTGGCGGGTGCTCTGGTGGTTTGCTGCTTCTTTCCTATCAAACATCTATCGTCCTTATCTCCCTTCCTTCTTTTTTAAAAATGTTTGTTACTCTCTTGTAACACCTCTAATCTTCTGGCGCTCATATTATGCAGTTGCGAGCGCCGTAAAACCTCTACTAAAACAAAACAGACTTTTACACGCGCGACTTTTGACAAAGGAGGCCATCATTTTTTAGTTAGAAAAGGCTTACGATACAACCTGGAAGTACGGTATTCTTTGAGGCCTGCACACTGTCAGTCTACGCGGTCACCTCCATGCTTTCTTTGACTGAAGAACCTTTCCTTCCAGGTTCGTGTCAGATCCTTCTTTTCCGATTCCTACCCTCAGGAGGAAGATGTTCCCCAAGCAAGCACCCTTTCTCCTTTCCTCTTCGAAATAAAAATCAACTCTATCGTTCAGACCCTCCATAACAACATGGACAGTTCGTTGTACGTCGACGACTTCCTGATGCGCTGCCGTTCCAAACATCATCAAATATGAAGTATGGGAAGTAGGCAAATGAAAATAGTTTTAAGTTTTCCCCGTCAAAGACGGTTGCAATATGTATACACTTCTGCCGATCAGGCAGGCATGTGCTTCAGCCAGATTTGGCACTATAGACCTAAAAAACTAAGACAAATATGAACAAAAGACATCTTAAACATTTTCTGTTCCTACAGGCCTATCCTTCATAAGCTTTTAACGTTATCTTTCATTATATTTGTTCTGTTCCTATGTCTGGATGAAAATAGTATGTGTGTGTGTGTGTGTGTGTGTGTGTGTGTGTGTGTGTGTGTGTGTGTGTGTGTGTGTGTGTGTGTGTGTGTGTATGTGTGTGTGTGTGCATTAATGTATATTGCTTGAGAAGAAAGGAAGTAGTGAGAAAGGTTTTTGAAAGACATTGAGCTACTTTTTTTGGAAATGCGCTATATAAATGTTATATATTATTATTATTATTATTATTATTATTATTATTATTATTATTATTATTATTATTATCTAAAAAGGGGTAAGATCCCCATTCAGGACCAGGCTCGTGTTCTCGGATTTATATTTGAAAAAAAAAACTCACCTTCACACATAAAATAAACGACTTTCGCGTGAGGTGCGAAAAAACCTTAAACGCTTAAAAAATTATGTCTCATCCGGAGTGTGGCAGGGACTCAGAACGCTTTCTCCACCTTTATTGTTCCCTTGTCCGATCCAGGATTGACTATGGCAGTCAAGTGTATGGATCGGCAAAACCCACCTCCTAAAATGCTAGACTCAGTACAAAACTAAGGCCTCCGCCTCGTCCTCGTGGCTTTTTGCACTTCTCCAGTGGAAAGCCTTCAGGCCGAAGCAAACACACCATCACCCACACCCAGACACAATAAACCTATTCAACTCTGGGTCTATGGGTGGGACCTCTGGGCATGCCATGCACAAATGCCCACAGTTATTGAGTTATTCAAAGTATCTAAAGTTTGGAACTTTCCCATATATATTCATCTGTTTTCTTTTTTCTTTGTTGGAACAGACTCTGTGGGTATGAACCTTTCACCAGTGAGAGTCCATCAGACCTATTCAAAAAAATTATCAAAGGAGAGTATGAGTTCCATTCCCCAGACTGGGACATCATTGGAGAGAATGCCAAGGTACTGATCAACTTCAAATACTTAAAATGTTTTCTTTCAATGAAGTTAAAGCAGTAAAACTATTGGAACCTTTTTCTTTGTGAAAAATTTTGTATGTATTAATATTGAAATAAAACTTTTTTGAGATTTTAAGAAGAGTAACTGTCAAATGGTACAAACTGATGACAAATGTTGAGGTTTTCATAAGTGTGTTCATTTTCAGAAGACGCTGTGCTGATTTTAATACAAAATGAAACTTGATAGAATGACAGTATCACCACATAGCCCTGTTTGTATAAGCAGTAGGAGTGTGGTTTTTCCCCAATTTTAAATGTATTTTTCACAACACACAAGCTTTTTACAAACATACAACGAAATTAACTTTATGGAAGGAGGTAGATTTTTTTGTTTTTCATTTGCATGCTTGAGTTTTTTAAGCTTCTTGATGGGAGGCTACTCTGAAATTATAGAGGTATGATGCTAATTTTTTAAAAAGATTTCTTGTTTATTTTATAGTGTTTGTTATGTATGTATGTGTGTGTTTTTCGGCGCTCACAACTGCATAAGGTCATATGAGCGCCAAGGGGTGGATGTCAACAAAGAAGTCCTTTCAGGGAATCAGACTCTGCTCAGCTATCTAGCTTCAACAGCACAAAGTCTGCTTCGACTATCAAGGCACCCCGGCAATAGCGGGTCACAAGAGTGTGATAAACATACAAAAGAGGGAAAATGACGATATTAAGGATCAGGAGAGAAAAAGCAGCAGTTCCCTGTTCCTTTTCAGTCACAGTTATGAGCATGACTTTGATGAATCAGCCCATTTACAATTACAATTCTACTGTGCATAAGAACTCGGGATGTTAATTATGTCCCCCTTTGGGAAGACACTTCAGTCTGTAGCACTGTCCCGGGGATTATTGTTTATTTTAGAAGTAAGTGCATCTCCAAGAGAAAAAATATAATTTTCAAGCTTACTTAGAAACTGGTCTATAGAGTCTTTTCCCTTTACAAAGTCTTTGACCAAGAATCTGCAAATTTCCTAGTAATAAAAACACCATTGTTTTTAGACAAGAGACAAGCTCCTTAGCTCTAGTTTTTAAGTTGTGGGGAAATACAAACTTATCATTTAAAGGATATTATTAATCTCATTCCAGCAATTTCCAATACATTGTAACAGTCCAACTTAACAACATGGTTTGGTCATGTCCATTATGTGACATGTGTTTTCCCTATACTGTACTGTTGAAAATTTAGTATCGCCAAATGTATCCATTTTCAAAAGCCCATTACAGTGGAGTCCACTTATAACGAGTCCCGAAATAACGAGAAGTCTGTTATAAAGACACTATTCTAAAACCCCGTTTTTTCTCTTCTTTACCTTTGTATACTGCTATAGCGCAATCAGACAGACATTCACGTCGGTTATAGCTGAATATTGATGCTGTTGTGCACAGTGCACTATTATACATAATGTAAAACCTCGCCAGTTGAGAAACTTTTTGGTGATCTAGCGAAAAAAAGAATGGGAGAACCCATGTGTGTCAACAATGAAGGCTGGAGCGACTGAGTAGGGAGGGTGTAGCATGCGCAGACAAGCAGAACGCATCGCGTGATACTGATAGGCCAGCCTGGGCCAAGTCTAGATTATCTGGACCTACCATCATGTCTTTCACTTCTCCGATGCGGGGATGGAGATGTCACAGCAATGTGATGGATGGAGCGAATGTGTGACATGCGTAAGCAGACGGAATGCTCCACGTGGTGTGGTGGGGTGGGGGACAACACAGCGGACAAATGAGCCTAGAGCCCCTTCTTTCTGATCACCAACACCGAGCTGTCAACATCGATAGCGCTAGAGGAAGAAACCTGAATTGATTTTTGATCAAGTAAGACCTAGAGGTCTTGCTGAAACAAAATCATCGTCAGGGGAGATAACAAAAAGAGAAAAAAAAACAGAACACCAAACTCATAGATTTAGGACTACTTTATTATTTCCCTTGAATTTTTTACTGGATCCCTTATAGCGAGAATCCTGCTATAACGGACATTTTGCACCAGTCCCCTCCCTTTCGTTATAACAGGATTCCACTCTATTTTCTTGTTGCAGATAGACCTCTCACCTCATGCCTCGAACACAGTATTTTATCTCTCCCCACCTCTAAGTGATTTTTATTGCACAATATCTTCATGTGTGTGTGTGTATGCTTGCGTGCATTTGTGTGTGTATGTATGTATGTGTGTGTTTGTTTGTGTGTGTGTGTGTGTGTGTGTGTGTGTGTGTGTGTGTGTGTGTGCGCATGTGTAAGTACTTGTGTGTGTGTGTGCCTATGTACGTGTGTGTGTGTGTGTGTGTGTGTGTGTGTGTGTGTGTGTGTGTGTGTGTGTGTGTGTGTGTGTGTGTCTGTGTGGTAAAACATCAAACCAGTGCGCCAGCATCTGGACAATAAAGATTTATCTATCTTTGTCTTTTGTCAGTTTTGAATGATACAGTTTAAAAAAATATTTTTTCAACAGGACTTTGTGCGCAAACTTCTGATCAAGAACCCACAAAAGCGTTTGACTGCAGAAGCAGCATGCAAGAACTGTTGGGTGCTCAGCTATGCATCAAGGACAGATAGTCTTGACTCTGTGGTGGAGAAAATAAAATCATTTAACGAGCAGAGGAAGCAAAAGGCAATGGTTCCTCAATTGAATGTTGTAACAGCACACCCTGATATGAATAATAGACTTCTTGAATTTGTGGAATATGGCTAACTGACGATACTGGCTATCTCTAAAATTTCTTGCACTGCTTGTAACTTGCAAACGTAACTTTGCTGACGTTGGTGAATCTATGCTTAAATAAAACTTTCTTAAGAATGCATTTTGATAGACACTTAAAGATGGGACTCTGTTTTTGAAGGCTAGATCTATGTGCTCATTGTGCACTTGGTCAGTGGTATTTACATTCAAACATCTAGCTGGAGAAATTTTGGATTATGGTTAAAATTTGCTTATAATTAGAGCATGTGCATCCTGCAAGGTTACCTCTAGCCAGAACGTTGTTTTGAAGATATTATTATGTTTCACATGAGCAAAGTGCTAATATTGCACCTGATACCACGATGTAATTTTCTCTTTGTCAATAGCTACAGTGCAGCTTTACCAATTTCATAGGAGTATGCAATTGAGCACAGTAAACCCGGACACGGGAAGCCTAAATTTACGGATATAATTTCGAGTTATGTGCCATTCCGCAACTAAAGTGCCTATTTCCTTTGTAGTTTCAATTTCTGTGGATGTATCGAACTGGACATCTCGAAAAGCCCAATCAAGATTTCCCCCACAATTTTCTCATTTAAATGTTCGTATCTGCACAATAGAAAACAATCATTGGGAGTATAATTTTACATGAGCCAACCAGGCTTGTCCCTGCACAGCGTGATTCACACACAGTTGGTATTAAGATGTATCTTCACTCGCGTGGGTTGCAGACAAGGTGGTGAATAATTGGAAAGTGAGCAAATGGGCAATAGGCGTAGTAGCTACTAATAAGATTTCTAGAGAAAGTCAATTAGAATCTGCTGGGTATCCGGTATATACACCTATGGATGTTTACAACTGTTTCTAGATGAAACCGCATAAAAGCTGCAATAAAGTGAAACAATACAAACAATTCACTGTGCTCACCATCTGAAAAGATTTAAAGATTTCTAATTACTTCATGCAACACCACGGCTTGCTGCACAATAGAGGGAGACAATAGTTTCGATACCCATTCTTCATTGAGTTACCGTAGACGAGTGTAGTAGATAAGCTCACGGAAATTTGGATCAAATTTTTAGCTTGCACCAAATTGGTGCTGCAAAGAGCAGTTTCATGCACCTTTCCTCTTGTGCGGGAAGAACGGTGCCTTGATTTCTCTTACAGTGACAAAAATAGCTTTGGTGCAAAGATTTTACTTGCTACTAGCAGACACTACCGGAAGCGGCACGACAAGCATAAACCATCCTCGCCGTCTGTCTCTTCCCTGGCGCAGTCAACGGATGTAGTGGGCTTAATGTAGATCTAGAGCACTGACAGGTTTAGAACAATTTAGAAAAGGGAAGGGGGGGGGGGGGTCAAGGTTATGTGGAGTGCTTGCACCAATTGCACCAATGGCGCCCCACCACTCATTACCTGTAGTGTTCGTAAGGCACAAGAACTCCCTTGAATCTAGTTGTGTGAGGGTTGGTGGTGGGTGGTGGGGTGGTACTGAAGATAGACTGGTCATTGTGTGTGTGTGTGGTTGTTTGAACATAAAAGGAAGTGATTACACAAAAGGGGTGGTGTGCTCTGACCAATGTTGGTTAATATTGTCTTGTTCATGATTTGATGTAAGAAAATTATTTTTTAAAGTCGTAATTAACCCTATCCATAACGTCGTGTTTTACTATCATATCCATACGACGTGGGGAACTCTGTGCCACCACTTTTCAAAGAGGAAATTTACTCGTTATTCCGATCCGTACGTTTTGCAACAGTCTGTCAAAATGATTTTTTTAAAGAAATGCTGAAAGTTTCCAAGAGATCTTTGCGCTAGAAGTATTCTAAAATATGAAGAATACAACCCCGGGGGTACAAAATGACCCCAGGGCGTACGGATAGGGTTAATAAAAATAGATAGCATTTTTATAGCGCATGTAGTGTCCATTTCTGATAAATAGGATCTAGCCAAATGAGAACATTCATTGTAAGTGCCTTTCCTAAGGACACAATGTCGGACAGAGCTAGGCCCTCAAACTTACTATTACAAATCTAGTAGCCTAACTACAAGACACACCATATAATATTGGGTACTTTTCATGATGGCAGTGATTTGTTTTCCAACCATTAGACCTTCACAGTTTACTTTTCTTGATCTACTTCAATAGTTCTTTCTTTTTTGGGGGTTGCTTTGTTTTACTTGAAAAACACGACGTGTTTGTGATATCCCTGCTAGACTTTATTTTGCTATGAACTCAGTTAACTAGTATGGATAGGGGTGATTTTCTGATTTAAAAAATATAGTTGGTACTAAGCTGCCTGCATGAAGTCACAGTTTTATTTTTCTTTTAAGATGTAAACAAAGAATCCTTTTTGGAGTCTACTCTTTTTTGCACATGTGCCTCTAGAACTTAAGAACCCAACTGAGCCATAGCAGCTGACCAGAACAAAAAAAGTGTTAAAATAAATGTTAATAACTTTCTTGTTTACTCAATCAACATCAAAATTTACTGGAAACTAGAACATACTTTTGGATTATATTTAAAAAAAAACCCTACTAATTGCTGTTGCACAATGGAAAGATGATAAAACATTTCACCCATTTACAAGGCGCTTTTTCAGTTTAGACATGTCCACAAACAAAATCTCCCGAATCAACCTGTACATTATTTGCTCGTGAATACGGGATGAATATATCTGCAACAAACATAACTTTCCAAGTGAGAGATCCATTTGGTAATGGGCTGCAAATTTTGAAAAGTTTTGGTCCATAGAAAATAAGAACTAGATGTAGAGCTAGAATTATAAGCCCAAGGTAACACGCGGTAAGCAGTCTGTAAAAATAACGCACTCTTGAAAAGGTGGTCCATGATTCGGTGAACTCTCACCAATACCTCGTCATCATACTGAGTTCTGGGAGAGCCTGGGACTATTAGTTGATGATAAAGGGAGACAGAAATAGCTCTCCCACCAAGTTAGAGCTGCTCCGCATGACGCCAGAGCTGTTCTGGGCTGGGTCAACAATCATTTTGGTTACAGGACAGTCAGTCAGATTGAGCACACCTTGACCCAAATGAACAGTACTTGAGTGCACTAGACCTTCACCATTGCGGTGTTTGTTGAAGAACAAGATATGTGAGAAAATGTTTTGAAAGCATCCAAGACTTAAGAGAAACCATCACAGAGGGCGTAAGAAAGATTTCTCCCGAGCAGTGTCAACTCTGTGGTCAATTTCACTCTGCGTGTGGTTAACTAAAAATTGTGGGTATAGACGTCTTGTAACTTTGTTTGTTGCAGTCATATTCTATTGTTAGTAACATATAATAAATCTGTATGGATGTTTCACGTTTCTGCAAACTTTGGTATTTGTACGGTTTTAATAGTTTAGTAGAGGTTTTACGGCGCTCGCAACGGTTTCATCAGCGTTCTTTTGGACGACCTTTTTTCTGGCCACTTTGTAGGCAGAAATCTTGTTATTGACCGAGATGTTGCTTTTTCTGAGTAATGGTACAAGCAGAACAGTTGCTTACATTGGTACAGGTAGATTGCAAGCATCATACCAATGAGTATTTCTGTACGAAAAACATTCTATCCATGTTTTGCTTGCTGTCCTGCTTTACTGTACGATTCGTAAAGTTTCACATGCAAAAACATGCTCTTCTAATTTGGAGAACAGTTCATGATATTATTTTGTGATTGATGTGAACTTTTCCCCGCTTGATAAAGAAGTGTTCTGAGGCATGTAACCTAGTATGCTTTTTTGTGCTTATGGGTAGTAACTGTTGCATTAAAAACAACAAATGAAAACCCGTCTGGGAGGGGTAGGACTCATACCTGGCTTGAGAGATATTGTTTAGTAATGTCTGCACTATAAAGTATAAAGGCAAACAACTTTTGTGCTTGACTTAACTTTCCATTTCTAGATGTTTATGCATTTACTTGATTATGTTAAAGTGACATGTAAGATAGCAAGGTTGATGAAAAAATAAGAGTACATTTTTAAACATTGGAAAAGAAATCAAAACAGACATATTATTTTTTATTATTCTATATATATATATATATATATATATATATATATATATATATATATATATATATATATATATATATATATGTATATATATATATATATATGGACTTTGTTTATACTCTCCCACTAATTTGCCAGTTGGTATTGTCATACATAGATATATGACCGCAGCAATTTTCAAACAGTGTGCCTTCAAGCAGTTCCTGCACACTGTGAAGAGAATATTAAAATTTGTAATGTGATCAGTTTTGAAACATCAAGAATTATAGGCTCTCTTGTGTCTTTATGGAAGATTAATAATGAAGACTTGCCACTAAATAAACCATTGAAAAGATTCTCCTGAACACAAAAGAGCAAAAGGTTTTCATTTTGATGTTTAGTCATATCTTACGAAAACATAACAAATTTTTATATTAAATTGTTGTGTTGTGGTTGTTCTTTTCTCCTACAACATTTTCTTTGACAGAATTTTGTTAAAATGTTGACTTCAGGTTTGGTTTTAACTATAAGATGTTTGGAAGGTATAAATCAAATTAAAATCAATTTCCAACCATCCCCTCCAACCAGGGATGTGGTTCATACTTCTGTTAACGATTCACTTTCTTTTTTTCGTTTTTCGTTGTTATTTTACTACAGTTGTTTCAGTAATTTATATATTATATCTTAGGGCATGTAAGACTTTTGTTTACACGGTTTTCAGCTTATTACTTCCGTGTAAACAAAGAATACGCTGAAAGTAATAAGCTGAAAATAAAGAGGAGAAATTAAGACCACAGTTTGAAAAATGTATTAGAATTAAATGAATACATTACTATTTCGGGATTCCTGATTGGTCTTTGGTTTTCATTTCACTTACATATTTTAGAACCATGATAACTTTATACTCTGTCTGGCTCTCTTTTTATACCTTTTGGCAACATAGAAGTGAAAGACATTCTACTTTTTGCTATTTGTTTTTGTAGTTTCAAGACATAAAGAGGCAATTGAAATGAAAAATTGGAGCAAAAAGTCCTGAAGGAATGCATCTGCATTCACTCTGCAAATATTTAGAGATTTTTCATACTTCATGTTCCGTTTTTGGGTCATACTTTTGTACAAGAATATACTTCCTGATCCGTTTTGAGGTAATACTTAAACATAGGAAAATAGTTTGTGTTTCGTTTCTCGAGTCATTATACTTATAAGAAAATATAAACATTATTACTACAATAACTGATTCATTGCCGTAGCCCATTTTAGGCTTTAAATTTAGGAATCTAAGAACCGCAACATAATTGTGCATGCAATTTAAAATAAAGTAATGAAACCTTAAACTCAATCGGATTTGTTGCTTTAAAAGCGCCATATTCCCCACAAACACGCACAGAGGTGTCTTCATCCTGAGGCCGCCATTTTTTCTGCAGAGGCCATTGCTATAGACATGGCATTTGACTTTGTAGAATACTCTCCAAAACCATCTTTTCTAATTCTGTGCGATTCTTTGTCTTGCATCACTTCACTCACGACTTTTACTCTTATTTAACAACCCTAAAACCACCAAGCTTCAGTTCAGGGTGGGGTGGGGGGGGGGGGGGGGGCTACACCTGAAGGCTATCTCGCTTATTACGAGTAGATCGCATTTTACCAAATTTCACACATATAACGAGCAAAGTAAGGAGTCTTAAAATCCGCTATCAAATTTGAGAAAAAAAATTTCGTTTCCACGGAGACGGCGGCCATATTGGATTTTGTTGACATGTCTTACGTAATGAATACCCCGCTAATTTTTCGTGGAAATAGATTTTTTTGCGTGCATATTAACTAGCATTAGATCTACAAATCTGTCTGTTGAATTTGTCCTAAACGAATTACAAAATTTATAATGAAATTTTTCCTGAGGTTGTAATCTATGTTTGCAAAAAATCCGTGAAAATCCCCACTCCAAACACCACCAACAAAAATCTATTTTAAAAAAATTCAGCAGATCATTTTTGATATCACATCTTCTCTTCATTCTGTGAACATTTCTAGAAAGAATGAAAAATGATTGAGTTATTCTAAAAAGTGTATTAAAAAACCGCGTTTGGAGAAAACGGGCGAAAAATAAAAATAAAAGATTGCCTTTATGAGGAAATGGTGGTGACAAACATGCCCGGTATGGGAAGAAATAAAGCTTTTGGGGGATCTAAGGCTATGAAATAGCTGTACGAGAAGCTGAAGAATCGAATCCGGACAATTGGGGTGTAGCCCCCCTTGGCTGAACAGGAAGAGAATATTATTGTGTTTGCATGGCTATCTAGCCGTAGAAACGAGCAGTTCGATCTTCTGGCTTAGGAATCCTTGCCCCACCTGTTAGGGTCAATGGAGAACACTCTCCTTCAGATTAAAAGAAACAGGGCCAAAAGCTACACCTCCAGTCTCTGGGAAGAACATTAATGGAGCTATGTCCTGCCCAATTTGGCCTCCAGATAATCTTTTACTTTCTCCAGAAGAGGGTAAGTTGACATTCCTCCGTTTCTCCTAAATATACCTCCTGCAGGGAGATGAAAAATCCCTTTTTGTTAAATGCGATCTAATAGGATATTGTGTCCGTACTTTGGGGAGACCCGAAGAAAGAATTTCAAATGACCAATTAAAAAAAACAACTGATTGTTCTCTGTCGCCGATCCCTAAAAAATAATCTACTTTAGAGAGACTCAGAGTAGATAATGCCATTTTAAAAGTGAATTTTTTTTTAAAAACTGGATTTTTTATAGTGCAATTTTTAAATACAACCATTCTGACTTATGAGAATAAAACCAAACTGTGCTGTGAACAAACGTGAAAACAACCAACTTCAACCTCTTCCCCTGAAATAACCTTATAGGCCTACAGTTGCGAGTCCCCAAAACTCTTACGTCATACCAAATTGAAACTGAATTTTCAATTTTGAGGGCTGTTTCTACTTTATGGTATCGATTGCTCAAACATGGCTTCAAACATTCTTTGGTATCGAAAACAAACATTATTGCTGTAAGTTCATGCATTTGAAAGAGAAACAAGTAGACCTGCACGTGTTGATTGTGTTTCTACTTCTCTGATGATGAATTTCTAATTATTTTACATGTTTCCCTTCTATTAAAAAAATATTATATTAGTGCAACCCGAAAAGAAAACTCGAAATATTTCCTGAAAGTATGATCCCAAAAAGGGAACACGAAGTACACGAAGTACCCGATCGAAGGGTTATAACAGGTATTGAAAATGCTTTTCTTACAAAAAATGTAAACCCACTTAACACAATTATGCATAATCAGAGGTTGCCAAAATGGATGCTTGAAGCACTCTAATCAAGCACTATTGTGGTTGGCAAATTCTTACTTCTGTAAAAACAGTTAAAAGGGTTGTTGATAGATCTTTCTTCTTACCCTTGTGCATGTATGTTTTCCTACTTAATTCTTTGTTTATCCTTCTGCCTTATGAGATCATTTTAAGTGTACCAATGTAATTAAAACGAAAAGAAACAAAACGCCAAATACCCCAACAACCAACAAAAGTAAAGCAAAAGTAATTAGATCTAGAACAAGTAAATCAAGCCTAATGTGAACCTCTTTTCTATCTGTGAACAGAGAGAGATTTTGGAGGTTGCCCGAACTCCGCGGAGCAGGATGAGCAGCCGAGCGACTCCGTACAGAGATGACTTAACGCTACGTGTAACCGCCAGCCCCTTACCACAGCTGGAAATCTCCGCCCCTCAATCACAACCAGAACCACAGAAGATAGTGGAGGAAGACATAGCCTTTGATCATATGTAAACTACAACTATTCTCCAACACAATCAGTATTCTCCTATAAGTATTATGTTTGAACTATTGTTCTCTGAAGTATTCTCCTGAAATAAACAAAGAAAGAAAAGAAAAGAAAGAAAGAAAGAAGAAAGAAAATAAAGAAACAAAAAAATAAATAAAAAATAAACAAAAACAAAACTGCAAAGGTAGGTTTAATTAATTAGTAGAGATGAACACAGCAATTGAGCTAAACTAAAAAGAAAACTGAATTGAAAAATTAACCTTTCGTTGGAGGTTGTGTGATAAGGTGCAGTGTGATATTATATTTATATATGAGAGGTAAAATAATATTCTGTGAAATTTTAGTCTCATTTTCCCATGATGCTACCTCTTCAACTTCAGTAGGTATAACATTTTAACAATTCTCAGATAAATACTCGTAACTTTGATATTTTTCAAAGTTGGGAAGGAAACACAGTTTTGTCAGTTGACCTCGAATGTAATTGACACTGATGTAATACTTTCCATTTCTCTTCATTTCATAATACATGTATGCTTTCACTCGTCTGTTATTTGATTTATATATGCCTACTTACAGTAATCTGGTAACCCCCCCCTCCCCC